TTAATACCAGAAATATTTTGTAAAAAAATTATTACCAGCAATAATTTTTTGAAGGAAACAGCAATACTTAAAAAAAAAAATATTGCCAACTATACATTTTTGAAAAAAAAAAAAATAAAAAAATTATTACCAGCTATACATTTTTTTGAAAAAAATATTAAACTGAAATAGATTTTTGAAGTGAAAAATATTACCAGCAATACTTTTTTGGAAAAAATATTACTAGCAATAAAATATTTTTTAGCATTAAATAACCCATTGAGGTTGACATGCCGTAAAACAAACCAAACCAAACCAATCCAAACCAAATGAAACTATCTCTGTGTGTGTGTGTGTGCGTAATATTCGAATTTCGTTTACCACTATTGAAAGTAAGCTTACATTTTAGGCATTTGTTTAAAGTAATTCGCAAAAGGATGCACTCCAATCAGTGCCCATAAAAAATATATACGCATCATTAAAAGCCTTTTCTTTTTGGCGAGAAAGAACGTGACAAGTGACGGACACGCCCTTTTTCGCTGTGTCACTATAACAACAAAAATCAATACTCATAAAACATTTATTTCAATGGATATGATACATGAAAGGAGACAACGGCGTGCACACATCGGAATATTTTATTCACGAGATTGTTTCATTCAGAAAACCGCTCGCCTTATATGGATATTCGTCCTTATAAAGAAAGCGGCGTTCGTACATCGCACTGCCGACACATTGTTCATTGTAAGATTTGCGTTATTCTCATTCATTAGGATCTCGTTCGTACACACACACACACACACACACACACACACACACACACACACACACACACACACACACACACACACAAAAACACACACGCATATTACATTATATTTATACATTGAGCCTTTTACTATTTTTCATTTTTATTTAATCCTAACCTTTCGGATTATTAAATTTATATATATTGTTCATACGTTACTTTTATAGATACAATTATTTAAGTAAATGCTCTGTTTATAATAAACAGTATTAACAACATTTACCAGCCTGAATGTCCTAGAAATTGCATAGATAATATGTCTTCTCCAACAGGAATCGAACCTGTATCCTACACAGAACCGTCATATAGCCTAACGTGCTATACCTTTTAGATACAGAGGAAGCGACTGGTGTGATAATAATTAACTTTTATCAGAGAACTTTAATTTCGTAAATATTTATATATGATTATCATAATTTTATATTTAAAATGCTGTGCGATATATGCCTTAAAGTAAAATATACATTAAGTTCGATCTCCAATATGGATGGCCTTGTGCCTGATCAGTGCACACAGATTGATTATTTATGCGTACTTACGAACCGTTTGGGGAGTATTGCTACTCACTGTTTCGAGAAATATCCGTACGAGCCAAAGTGACCTAGACGCATGCGCGCCACTGCATCAGTTTTCTCTTTTACGACAACCGAATTTGGCTCTTATGAATGGGCGTGCGTATCGAAAGCTGAAGAGGCGAAAATAACAGAAAGCCATATTTGCATGAATGTAGAACTCATTTGCATAAATCCAGTCACAGGCTGAGATGAATGAAAAAATGGGAGGACTGGAAGTTGTGGAGGGGGGAAAAGGAAAATAGACGAAGAAATGAAAGTATCAATGAAAAGAGGTTGCTGAATATCTATCTATCTATCTATCTATCTATCTATCTATCTATCTATCTACACTATTTTCATTGTTCGGACTGTTATACCCATCTTTATTGTCATATCCACGACGCTTCGGCCGTTGCACACTCCGACTTTCTTCAGGTACATTGGAATTTTGAATCGGACCCTTTATTTTGTCCATGGGGATAGATTGTTCTAATTCCACGTGCCATGCCATTTTTTCCCCAGTATCAATTAATTTCCTTTGATAAATCAAATCTCCAGGTTTTTGTTTCATCTACTGTGCCCAGGTAATTGTTGCCCAATCAACACTTTTATTCACTCGGCCATTATCTATCTATCTGACACATACATTTTATATATATTTATATATATATGTATATATGCATATATATATATATATATATATATATATATATATATATATATATATATATATATATATATATATATATATATATATATATATATATATATATATATATATATATATATATATATATATATATATATATATATATATATATATATATATATATATATATATATATATATATATATATATGTGTGTGTGGTATGACGTTTGGATAACCTAACTGCCTGATTTCAGTTCCAAATTGGATGCGCACTGCTGATGAGTTCCAAATATAGGACGAAATGGCCGTCCGGTGCTTTCTGCATTTTGTTGAGGTTTCTTTCAGACCCAATGAATTACTTAATTATAATTATCAAATTCTCCAAATAATATATATATATATATATATATATATATATATATATATATATATTGAACAATAAAAAATATTAAAAATTAAAATCTTCATACCCACTGGGTTGTAGATTAATATTCTTTCGTTATTATTATTATTATTATTTCATTTAGATTCCTCGACTAGTTTCAGCCAAAATGGCCATCATCATCAGAAGAAATATTTCTGCTTGCTGGTAGCAGTGAACTACAGAAATGAATGTCTTGATGGAGAAAATGAACTTTTGTCTGTAGTTTTCATTTGTTTTTTTTTTAATTTTTTAATCTTTTTAACATGAATCTTATAACATTCCTTGTTTTGGTCAAACAGTCTCTTTTAAGTTGTTATTTGAGATAAGAGCTGGATGGATCCATGCTGCTCCATATATATATTAAATAGTTTAATTACACTTGACTGTGGAAGTCATCAGTGGCTGAGCGTGTTAAAAACACACCCGGCTTAACAAGGATTTCGCCTAATAGGAAGACTTAAATTTGCACTGTTTTGTAATGTCTCCTCTAACACGTGTATACAATAAATATGTATTCTCCAACCTGGATTGAGTCCTCTAAGTGACTGGCGTGTTTATGAAATAATAAATACGCAAAAATTCGCCTTTCTACCTGCTGGGCGTCGATAACCTCAGGGTTAGAATCTCCGACTGATGCCATATATATATATATATATATATATATATATATATATATATATATATATATATATATATATATATATATATATTAATTTCAATAAAGGTGCAATTAATTTACAAATTGATGAATTATTCATACAAAAAACAAATACATAGGTTAATGATTTATTTGGCGAGAAATCCATCGTCGCGAACAATTCAAATAATATACAAAAACCCCGAACCTGTTTATGAATGAAAAGATCCTTGTTTCTATAAATTTCTGTTGCATAAGTTCTTATAATATAAATAAATAATAAAAACTTAAAATAAAAAATGCTTGAATATATATATATATATATATATATATATATATATATATCGTCGTCGGCATCCGTCCGTCTCGAGAGACGATGGAGTAGCGGGGTGCGCTACGAGCCTGGGTGGGATATATGGAGAACTAGGGCTGCCCAGACGTCTAGTTCCCCCTAGAGAGGATAAACCAGTGCAGTTTGGTACCAACGCGGCTGCAGGAGTTGCCGGAAGGTAGCCGTCCATCCGCCTTCTGGGATCCACTCCGGGTTTGAATTCAGAGTTGTCCTTATCCTAAAACATTTGCCATCCAAGGCTATGGAACCCAGTCTGTCCTGCTATTTACCCATAGCTGGAGGGAGAAGAAGAGGATTCATACCTTTCCCAAGGGTATTAGCACGTAAGTGAATGTAATGGATTCGACTGGAATTCGAACTCGGCTCTCCGATTCCTCAATCCAAGTCGATATCCATTACTCCACCATGCCTCTCCACACACACACACACACACACACACACACACACACACACACACACACACACACACACACACACACACACACACACACACACACACACACACACGTATTGAGAGAGAGAGAAAGTGACAGAGAGAGAGCGTGCGCAACAGAGAAAAAGTGAGTTAGAATTTGCTCTGTTTATAGTGGAAAACATAAAAAAGACATTTATGCATAGAATCAGATAAATACAGTTGACATTACCAGAACACATAATGAGGAAAGAGGGCTTAGAAAATTTGATACATACAAGGCATATTGAGGGCCAGAGTTTACAGAGGAAGGCGTCGCATAGCCTACCTAACGAGATTGCCTGAACTGTTGGCAGAACGGATCAGAAGTAGAAATATACATACTTTACTAAGACATCCAAAGGAGAAGTTGGGGAGAGCCATAAATAAAAGTAGAAGAAAACTTAGAAGAAGTTTCGTAAGAAGTATTTTGTGCACAATTATGCAGTACCCCGGGTGGATCGAATAAGAGTACGAAGCCAAGTGGTCAGAACACTTTTTGACCATGAGACCCGAGTTCGAATCTCACCATGGTCGATTTGTCAGTAAGGTGACCTTGATATTATCAGTCTAGCGTGCGGCACCTTTGGAAAGTGCCTGAAAACTATACCACGGATTGACCCAAGCCTTGTGAGTGAAATTCGCTAGACGGGACCTTTGGGAACCATTGGTAGTTGTGCTAGCACGAAGTCACAAGTCATCGTGGCAGAGGATTTGAGCGTCCTAGCCTTGTTCAGATTGTTGATCACGCTAAATAACGCACTCTTTCCCAGAAACTGTAGCTAAGCTCCGCTCAGAATAGTTGCAGTATAAAACAGAAGTCAGCTCTGGGGATTAACAATGAGATTGTCCGTGTGTGTGGCTTAGATAAGATAATTATGTTGCACAGGAAAAAAATATTAGAATTTTAAATTGGGTAGATCTGAAGGCAAATCCTCGACACTTGCAGTAATTGGCGCTAAATATGCATTTAAACACAACTGCGTTCTAGAAGCACCGGAATAATTCGACCGCCATATATATATATATATATATATATATATATATATATATATATATATATATATATATATATATATGCAGAAGTTGGGATAAGTATATACAACATTAACAGGCTAAGAACTTTTCCGTCCACTTTATAATTTTCAGGTATTATATGACGGCTTATTTATTAGAGAGATATAAAGTAACAGCAAGATAGATAGATAGATAGATAGATATGAACAGGCTGAGATAGGTAGGTATGCATAGTTGTGATAAATAGATAGATATGAACAGGTTGATATAGATGGATAGATAGATAGATAGATGGTTATGAATAGGTTGTGATAGATAGATAGATATGGATAGGTTGTGATAGATAGATAGATAGATAGATAGATAGATAGATAGATATGAACAGGCTGAGATAGGTAGATATGCATAGGTTGTGATAAATAGATAGATATGAACAGGTTATGAGAGAGTATATAGATGGATAGATAGATAGATAGATAGATACATAGAGAGATGGTTATGAATAGGTTCCGATAGATAGATAGATAGATAGATAGATAGATGGATATGGATAGGTTGTGAGATAGATAGATAGATAGATAGATAGATAGATAGATAGATAGATAGATATGAACAGGCTGAGATAGGTAGATAGGCATAGGTTGTGATAAATAGATAGATATGAACAGGTTGAGATAGATAGATAGATAGATGTTTATGAATGGGTTCAGATAGATAGATAGATAGATAGATAGATAGATATGGATAGGTTGTGATAGATAGATAGATAGATAGATAGATAGATAGATAGATAGATAGATAGATAGATAGATATATAGATATGAACATGCCGAGAAACTGTAGCTAAGCTTCACTCAGCATAGTTACTGTATAAAACCACAGGTGAGGTCTGTGGGAGTTGAATAAACACAAATGTCCCTGAGCAGGCGTTTGCAATGGGCATTAACAAGTCGCCCGATTAGACTGGCATTCTCGGATACGAGTGCCTGTGCCATTTACATTTGGAGTGTGGATGAAACCTTGTTAATCACTACGGTGGGGCATTCATTACCATTCTTTTATTCTGACTCGCTGTCTGTCTGTCAGTCTCTCACTATATATCTAACTATATATCTAACTATATATCTAACTATATATATATATATATATATATATATATATATATATATATATATATATATATATAACGTAATTAAGGAACTGACGAACAAATAGGATTATAATATTAATAATATTTATAATATTATGAAATTGGTTTTGTTAAGTCAGCTATTGCAATATTTAACTGTCACTGTTCACAACAGAGAGAGAGAGAGAGAGAGAGAGAGAGAGAGAGAGAGAGAGAGAGTCTTAAACACACACACACACAAACAAAAAAACCCTCAAAAAACAAAAATAAACTTCAGGCCTCCCACCACGCAGTTTTTTTAATTATCACGATCAACACATTTATGTTCCGATTAATCAATATTACACTTAACATTTTATCCCCCTTTTTTTTCCCTTCTCTTGTTTCTGGGTTTTATCTTGGCGTGGGTTTCTAAATGTATATTAGTAACACCGGGAAGGCGGGAAATAGCTTCATTCATTAGTTGAACAGCTTCATCATCTATAAATACATGTTTTGATATATTCAACAGATGCAGACAACTCACGATGGAGGCTGAGAGATTGACAGATGTAAATTCACAATTAGTAAATGCGAAATAAGTTATCTAGTCTGTAATAATAATAATAATAATAATAATAATAATAATAATAATTTCCTTAAAAAGACTACGATATAAATTGTAGATAAGGCTAAGTATTTTCGATGAGTTCAGTGAATAAATAACTGAATATACAAATGGACGAACAAATGAATGAACGAAAGAATAAAGTTTGCATATATATATATATATATATATATATATATATATATATATATATATATAGTGTAACCCGGATATAAGAGAGTTGTCGGGACCGGAGAAGAAGTCTCTTATATCCGGGTTTCTCTTATGTCCGGGTTTGGTCTATTTTATAAACATTAACACAGGCTCTAATTTGGGACCAGAGACAATCTCTCTTATATCCGGGTTTCTCTTATATCCGGGTTTGGTCTATTTTATATACATTAACACAGGCTCTAATTTGGGACCAGAGACAATCTCTCTTATATCCGGGTTTCTCTTATATCCGGGTTTGGTCTATTATATATACATTAACACAGACTCTAATTTGGGACCAGAGACAATCTCTCTTATATCCGGGTTTCTCTTATATCCGGTCCAGAGAAATCTTATATCCGGGTTATATCCGTATATATATATATATATATATATATATATATATATATATTTTATGTAAACAAATAATGTTTTTTTAAATAATATACTCCGATAAATAATATCACCGCTTTCTTTAAATGAATCAATAAGTAAAATATTTATTTTTTTCAATTGATGAGGATGTTTCACTTACTCTCATTATCTTAAAAATTGTAAACATTATTATTATTACTATTTAATTTTTTTTTTAATTTCAAAGCAGTGGACATCATCCTTCGTATAAATTCAAAACTTTATTAACCGAATGTTAACATTTTCTTTTTTCCATAAAATTTTTTTGACAATTAATTATATTAAAATGACTAGTGATGGTAGCAACAACAATAATATTTTTAATTAATAAATAATAAAAAAAAAATAATTAAGTCAAAATAAAGATAACCATTTTTTTTCATAATAATAATATTTTATCACAGAAATACTTTATAAGTTGAAAATAACGCTAGGTATTTTCGACGAGTTTAGTGAATAAATAACTAATATACAAATGGAAAATAAATGAATGAACGAATGAATAAATATAAATTATATATATATATATATATATATATATAATATATATATATATATATATATATATATATATATATATATATATATATATATATATATATATATATATATATATATATATATATATATATATATATATATATGTATATATATATATATATATATATATATATATATATATATATATATATATATATATATATATATATATATATATATATATATATATATATATATATATATATATATATATATATATATATATATATATATATATATATATATATATATATATATATATATATATATATATATATTCAGCAGTGATACGTTATCCTTCAAAACTTTATTAGCCGAGTGTTAACTTTCACTTTTTCCATTAAATTTTTTTGACAATTAATTATGTTAAAATGACTAGTGATGGTAGCAACAACAATAATATTTTTAATTAATTAATAATTATTCTGATTATCAGGATCAGTAACAATAACAGTAATAAAATAAAAATAAAAATAATCATCTTTTTTTTCATAATTATAAATAAATAATGTATTATTAAAACATAATACTTAGTAAATAATGTTGTGTTTCGTTGAATAGCTTCTTTTTCCAATGCCTTTCTTTTTGAATTCCAATCGCATCTACGTCTCTTGGCAACGCATCTAGGAGAAGAAAACAACCCACTACACAACTTTAAAATACCTAAAATGACTGAAGTAAATATGGCAGTTTCAAAGATCTTCTAGAAGTTTTGAGCCTTGGAAAAGAAAAATACCTAATGTGCTGAAAAGTTTGAATTATCAGAACTTTGCGTTAAGAGGAAAAATATGAAAACTAAAAGAAAAAAATCAGAATGACTCTTCAAGAGAAAAACAAAAGCCCGGGATGAAAACTACATGAGGTCCTAAAATTGCAATAAAAAAAAAAAAAAACAAAAACTCCTACAAAATAATGAATCTTCAGGTTCAAAATAATCCCAGATGATCCTATGAAAACTAGATCCAAAGCTATTCATTAAAAAAAAAAAGAAAAGAAAAGGTACAATAGTTCAAAGTCCTTGAGAAGAAATGGTTTTGAGAGAAATGGGCTTGAGGAAAAATAGTCTTGAGAACAATAAGTCTTTGAACAATTGACGAGGAGTACAATGGTCTCTTGAGGAGTACAATAGTCTCTTGAGAAGTACAATAAGTCTCTTGAGGAGTACAATTGTCTCTTGAGAAGTACAATGGTCTCTTGAGAAGTACAATGGTCTCTTGAGAAGTACAATGGTCTCTTGAGGAGTACAATAGTCTCTTGAGAAGTACAATAAGTCTCTTGAAGTGGGCACTTGAGAAAAAAATGGTCTCTTGAACTATAAAGTCTCCAAGAATAGAATAAAATTCTTGAGGAGTACAATTGTCTTGAGGATCCAAATACTTGAGAAGTACAATGGTCACACAGAAGTACAATGGTCACACACACACACACACACACACACACACACACACACACACACTTGAGGAGTACAAACGAGAAGTACAATGGTCTCTTGAAAGAAATGGTCAATTGAGAAGTACTAAAATTCCAGGATGGCAAACTCAAAGTTATTATTTCATTCTATGAAGCGTTGCAAAAAAAAAATCATTCGCTAGACATATAGCAAGAAAAGTTTGAAAAAGCAATTAGAAAGTACAGTGACGAAAATAAACTATCCAATGTAAGAATGCACATCATGAAAATTAACCGATTGACAAATGCTAAAATTGAAGAAATATAAAGAACTGCAAGCAGAATTAGTGAATCAACAGAACATGAAAAGGAACCAGAAATGGACATAAAAAGTACTAACGTCATACAAAGCAAAGATTATAATGAAGAAACTGAGACACACACCAATCACTCTGAAGATAATGTCGAAAGATGAGAGTGGGAAATGTGTGATCTTTGTCGGTCACATGCCTGCAATAAAACGAGTCCAAAACACAATGAACTGAATTATTTTACGGAAAACAAGAATGTCACCCAAGGAAGAAATCATGAGACATATAAGTCAGAGACAAAATATAGAAATGGAGGTAAAAAACAACTCCCAAAATTACAACCAACAAAATATACGCTAAAACTATTAAACTCTATAATGCAGCATTCAAATAAATTCTAAATGAAGTAGACCCAATATTTATGGGTTACACCCTTTTTCTTTTGGACTACCAGCTTGTAATACCTAACAGCATTAAATACCCAGAGGAAGTGAACATGACGGAATATTTGCCTGTAAGATAATCAAAAAGAAAATTATCCAAGTCTATTTTACACGGATGACATATTGAAGTCCTACTAAGAACTGAATTTACCAGACTGTATATATATATTATTAAAACACTAAAAGGTTTCTGGATGACATTGTAATACCAATTGTATTTTGGAAAAATGTTTATTTGTTATATTTCATTCCTGAGGATCATTCATTAAGGACCAAATTTCATCCAATCCACAACACCCACATATAATTCTTAACAATCAATATTTACATCAGTAATAAGGGTAACTTAAAAGTACTAAGTTGTCAAAGTAAAATAAGGAATCTCACCACGTGAAAATAGAGAAAGAAATTGAAGAAAAATTATCAGTACTATGAAATGGCAAGAGGAAAAAAAATATTAAGAACTAGAAAAGGCAAAAAGTCAAAAGAAAATACAAAATTATGGATGAAAAATAAGCCTTTCTCCATCCCAAAAAAAAATAAAGTTTACAATAAGGTTCAAAAAATCAACTCTAAAAAAGACAAGATTCTAAACGAATGGATTCTTCAAAAATGCGAAAAGTTTTACAGAGAAATAGGCAAACAAAAAATTGAAACATGCATCCCCACTGAACAATGGACGAGTTTATATCGTTCTGGGAAATGATATGGTCTTGCCTTAAAGAACATAAAGTAGAAGATTGGATTACGCAAGAGGTAAAACGGATGAGAAATAAGGCAGAATAAACATGGACGGAAATCACAGAAAAGACTGTTGAATGGGTACTAAAAAAAAAAAAACACGTAACTAAAAAAGAATAGATAAAATACAACCTTTTGGCTCTGATATCTAAATACAAAACAGGCAAAAAAACGAACCAAAGAACCTAAAGAAATGCAAGAAAATTCCAGCATGGCAAATCGAAGGGAATTACTTTTCTCCTAGAATGATGTAGAAAAACCCCCCAAAAAACAAAAACAAAGAAACCAATTACATGTTTTCCCCAAAAACTGTGAAAAAATTCTGATCAAAACAGTAAATTCCTTCTTAGAACAGATAAACAACGCTTGAACAAAAAGACAAACGTGGTTCATACCAGATCCAGAGACCAATGGCTTTTAAAGTAATGATTTTTGAAAACTTAATACTCATTTGGATTAAATTCTGAAAACGGATTCGATATTGTACCCCATTTCAAGACCTTAAAATCTTTTAATATATAAACTTTCAGGCAAATCATTAATTTCGTCAAATAAAGTGTGGATCCAAAAATGCAGGTTCTGTCATATAAAATATCATCTGGTGAAATAAACATAAAAGATCAAATTTCAGGATGTTTTGTCTTGCGCCAAATGAATATAAAAGCATTAACCAACGAAATGAACAGGACGGAATATGCCTATAAGATATCTCAAAAGAAAATTATCCATCTATTTTACACGGATGACATATTGTTGTATACTAAGAATGACTGAGCTGGAAGGTCTCCTTAAAACAGTAAAATGTTTCAGAAATGACATCAAAATTCTTTGTAAATTACAAAGCCATTTTTACAGGACACTAAGATTCATCCATTAATAAGCCGGAACAATAAATATTTAAACCAAAAAGAAAATATTGCTTACAAGTTGAAATGAAGGTCCAGCGGACCACCATATCAACCAAGGAATTTGCAAAAAAAAACTATCGAAGAATAAAATATTGGAAAAATCGAAACAGAAAAAAAATGTGGAAATCCCAAAAAAGAATAATACTTTCATATCTATTGAAAATCTCAAGAAGAATGATAAGAAGAAGAAACACAAAGAACACAAATGAAAAACGAATGGATTCTATGAAAATCACAGTTTCAGAGAAATACAAAAGTGATCTTGATAGGTACAGCCCATAAAGAACTAAGAAGAATTTTGTCCATGTAAATAGTGATGTTAAGGAAACAACTATTGGCTTACTAAATCATGAAATGACAAAGGACTGATGAACAATTACTCAAATACGAAAAGGTCAAAAAATATTCAATCATGCTAGAAGGTTGTGACCATAAACAGAAATCAAAATGGAATAATAAAAAAACAAAAATAACCCATTAACAACTGTTACAGTAATCTATTCAAAAGGAGATAATAAATCTCTTGAAAAGATAAAACCATCTGCTGGCAAGAAAAGACTTCATGACGATTATCAACATTAATAATTTAATGAAACAATGAATATAGTACCTCAGATTAAAGTTACTGAAACGGAGTTTTATTCTTACAGCGCAAGAAGAGTCTTTTATTAGGGAAGACAAACCTCAGAGGACTAGAAGATCCAGGATTTATTATCGGTAGATAAATATCAGTAAAACCAAATTTAAAAAAAATCATTTCACTTGCGCCAAATGAATACAATAATCTCACTAAGACGCAAGTGGTTTCTGGGAATGAAAAAGAACTGAGAAATCTTTAGTGAGAAGAAAGGGTAATAAAAGAACAAGATTCGGGAAGACAAAAGATGGCGATTGACGTTGCATTCAAATATTTGAAGATTATAAATGACAGGGAAGGAAGAATCAGAAAAAAAATGTTACGCACACGAGAAGAGCGAGAAAAGAAACTATTAGAATAGAATTTAAAGTTTACAATACTGAAATATTTCAACATTAAAATGGTGACATCTAGTTGTCAATATAGCAGCAGGCTTAAATTCATGCAGTCGAAGCACCAAGTAAGAAAGCTCATCAGGACGATTGCTATGAAAATATCTGTAGAAAAGACATAAGGAAACCACGCCACGTCGGTGCGAAAGTGACTGCAGTCGATATTCCAGGTCAGGATCGATTATATTACACACCGTTCTTTGAGTTTTGTCATGAATCACGAAGTATATCGTAAGAACACTAGACAAGATTTGTGAACAGTATCCAATATACAGACGAAAGGTAGATTTATAAATATGCAAGATAGATTCTGATGGGAAAGATTGGCAATTTCACAGAGATGAAACAACTTTTCTACAGAAATAAACGGATACCATTGATCCAATATAATATACGCATATGATGTTTTAATCTGACAAACTTATCATTTATGACAACGGTGAAATACCGGAGGACCTCGAAATATTAATCTTCATAGTGCTGTCAAAAGAACCATGTGAAATGCATGCTAATTCAACACGACAATCAACTGGATTAGTCACATAACTAAACTAATTGCTATTTATTGATTTGTCCATATCCAGGATTAGGAAGGTGCAAATCGGTGATACCAAAATCAAACAAGTACAAAATTTTAAATATCAAGGAAATATTCTAACAGAAAACGGAAAGTGCGGCACTGAGATCCGAAGACGCATTAGGATCGGTAAAGATGCATTTCTAAAGCTAAGCATAGTAATAAGAGACAGAAAAATTTTGTTAGAAACAAAGAAAAGACTATTGATATCTATTCACCTGTATGGCAACGAGTGCGAAACAATCCCCTTGAAGATGAATAAATGACTGGAAGTAACAGAAACGTAGTTCTACAGAAGGATGCTGAGGATATCATGGACAGATTATATGAGCAACAACGAAGTTTTAGAGAAAACGGAAACGTATACTTAACATCAGAGCACATAATGAGGAAAGATAGCTTGGAAATTCTGATACTCACAAGGCAGACTAAAGGAAAGACGCGCAGAGGAAAACAACACATAACATACTTGACGAGCTTGATAGATGGCGGAACAGGGTTTTGAAACAAAAAAGATTTAAGAGTTACAAAGAACAGGAAGTTGTGGAGGGCCATGATCGCCTACGCCCTAAGGGAACACGGCACATAAAGAAGATCGTAGGTGTTGATTGCTTCCATTCTCTCCGTTCCCCGACTGCTAGCATGTTTAATAATTTAAAACAGAGACCTTTCCATATTTTGACGTCATCTCTGGTAACCACAGAAACTAATACCTTTGAGGCAGGATACTCATCACTAACCCTGTCACTTAGGAATCTTTACCCGCACCACTAGAACGTAACTAGGGACGCAACGGCAAAAAACCGCAAGGTAAAATATACAACAGAATACCCAAGAGGGGATGTTGAAAACGGACCTAAATTCAAATGTAGAGTGTGAACTGGACATAGTTGCATATTGCTCCACTATAGACTATGAGATTTTAATTATGTGAAAACGAATATATATATATATATATATATATATATATATATATATATATATATATATATATAGATGTTTTCCATAAAAGCTGTCTGCGTGCAATCTGTGGAGTTAAGCTTCAAGATAGGACATCTAACGTAGACCTGTTTAACAGGTGTAATATTGGAGGAATCGAGACTTTTATCATACAGTCCCAGTTACGGTGGACTGGTCACGTCTTGAGAATGTCTGATGACAGGATACCCAAGATCCTAATGTACAGCCAGTTAGACCAGGGCTACAGTAATGTAGGACGCCCATGGCTGAGATACAATGACAAGCTGAAAAGCAATTTGTCAGCAGTCAATATACCACATAACACTCTTGAGCGCTTAGCCTTGGAGCGGGTAGAATGGAGATCAACGTGTTTTAGTAGACTCAGCAATGTTCAATCTGCTTGTCTGAATCATCTTCAAGAAGCGAGAGCAAGATCTAAAAGTTGAGCCAATCTAACAGTGATCAAATCACACAATCTTCACACTTGCTCCATATGCGGCCTCCTTTGTAAATCACTGGCGGGTCTTAAATGCCACTTAAGATTATCAACTAAAATTTCATAACTGAATCAATAAGCTGTCAGATCCTCATACGTCGAAACCGACGGGAGAGTCCATTATTATTATTATTATTATATATATATATATTTTATATATATATATATATATATATATGAGGTTGAAATTTTTTAACTACGGGTAGTTCTTAAGAAAGGGGTTTAGATGAAACGCAGGCGTAAAAGTGATATTCATGTTTTAATATCAACACCGAACTGGTTGACCCTCAATAAGCCGACTGATTAACTGATTCGTCTTATACAACGGTTATTTAAAACAAGAAACTATTTTTACATTGTAGGAATGTTGTTTTCTGGAGATAAAAATGGTTTAAGAACACAAATATTACTAATTAACCTATAGCTGGAGGAGAAGGGGTTCATTCTTACCTTTCCCAAGGGTATTTGCGCGTAAGTGAAATGTAACGAACGCAATGGAAATTAGAACTCGGCTCTCCGATTAACAATTCCGAACCGTTATCCATTACACCACCCGCACATCCAAGCTTACAGGACCTGGTATTCCCAAGTTGTCACCTCTCTAGGGACTGACCATATTTGACGTTGCTTAACGTCGGGGATCGTACGGGAACTGATGTTTCAACGTGATATGGCCGTAAGCAAGACGAGGAAAACTTTGAGAACATTGTCGAAGCAGTCACTAGATCATTGGATTGTTTTCGAGATATGCTAATTAATTCTATCAGATGTGAAAATGCAAACGAGTTTCCAAAAAAAAAAAGTGTGCCTCGTTTGCTCATAGAGGAAAAAAAAATGACGCAGTCGTTTAAAAGTGTGTCCCTAATTCGGGGAACAATGCCGAAATGGTGAAACTAGAGATATGACGGAAAAAAAAAACTATGAAAAACCCCAAGGTAAAATATACAACAGAAGAGAGAGAATATTGAAAACGGACCTGAATGTAGAGTATCAACTGGACATAGTTGCATAAGGCTCCGTTATTGATTATAGGATTATGGGTAATTCTTTGAGGTTTTCTGGTATTTGGAAACAGGCTTTTTCGAAGCTTGGGAACGGCGATGAGACCTCATAATTAAAAGTATATTTTGAAGGAGAAGCCTCAGTGACTACGGTCGAACGTGGCAAATAGTAGCAGCATTAATCAAGAAGTTACGTTCTTTACTTAGAGAAGTTAACGATTAACTACTAGAACTTGTCAACCTCTCTGCTTCCGGGCAGAGAGTAACCCAGACGAGGGAATTAGACATCAACCCGATCCCGTGTATACGGGGTCTATGGGGAATTTTTGCCCGAGCCTACGGACTAGGAACACTACACGTAAAAAATGTGCCACATCCCTCCTTGTGGAGAGGCCTCGAGTAAATACCTAGGTTCTTCATTTAGAATTGTCCCAGGGAACAAGAGCCTAGTGGATCAAAACGTTTTTTCGTGAATTTGGTCACATAGTAATTGCCAGTTCCACTTGGACTCACTTGAAACGAGACGACCAATAACTGAGCACTACTAAATAGAATATGGTTGAGTTTGGTTAGCAGCATATCAACATCTCTATGGGTTATATTTAATGTCGAAATATTTACATTTTGGAGCATTTTTATGGCTTCAGCTAAAAATATTTTGAACGCAGTTGTACACCTAGAGATAAAATGTATTATTAACCAATTTTTTATATATAAAAATTCAATGCTGGTATTTTACTATGAGAATTTATTTTTATACTTTCATAGTGCTTTGTCTTTGTTTGGGTTTCATAATTTTCCTAGAGCTAGGACCCTAACAGGTGCTACCACCCCGACAAAATAGGAACTAGACCATGGACATGGACAGCGTAATGAGACGAATGTACCCTCCTAGATTAATTAAAGGCTTCAGTTTTAAATTCTCTGAACTTTATTCGGATAGACAATCAACAGATGATGATCTATCTATCTATCTATCTATCTATCTATCTATCTATCTATCTATCTATCTAAATTTGCTTAAATTTGTCTCTCGGTTTATACATATCTATCACAGTGTATTCATATCTATCTATCTATCTATCTATCTATCTATCTATCTATCTATCTATCTCATTCGGATTGATATCTATCTATCTATCTATCTATCTATCTATCTATCTATCTATCTATCTATCTATCTATCAGTTTCGATCGTTGCTACGGAACGTATTTTTCTATAATAAGATGTCTCGAATTCACAGGTTGATAGACGTAATACAAACTAATAAATAAAAAATGAGTCGTCTATTTCAAATACGTAGTATCCATTATACGTGACATAAAGTGAGAGCGGAGTAAAAGCAAAGAGAGAATATAAGTAAATTTAGAATCACTTGCTTGTAGGTAATTAATATTTACGCAACAAACAGGACGCCTACTTTATTTATCGATTTTGCGAAATAAATGACTTTTACCGTCACTTTCATCCTTCCCTTTGAAAACTGATCTACAACCTCCTCCATATCTATCTATCTATCTATCTATCTATCTATATATATATATATATATATATGTGTGTGTGTGGTAGGTATAGTGTGTGATGAAAGAAATTCGAGAATAGTAGGCTGATGAAAGAAAACAAGAATACAACAACAACAACAACAACAACAACAATAACAATAATAATAATAATAATAATAATAAAAGAAAGTGTTTCATCAACTATTCTTCATGGATGATATCAAACTGTTTACCAAAGACGACAGAGAATTGAAGGCTAACCTCAATGATGCAAAATGTTTCAGTGATGATATATATATGTTTTTGGGATTAGATAAATATACAAAAAGTAACAGTCAAGAAAGGGATAGTTATAGAAACAAACTCAATTATTCTAGATTTTGTCATAAACATTATAGCATATCCAAATAAAGGAGAAAGGAAGAGAAGAATACTACAGGCGTGTGCGTCTGGTGTTAAATACCGAAGTGAATTAGCAAAACAGAATATCAGCCATAAACCCATTGGCTGTCTCTGTGGTGCAATACAGTTTCAACACCCTTTAATTGGACCATCGCTCACATTAAGCGAATGGGTGCCAAAACGAGAAAGGTCTCACTTGCTACCGCATGAATCAACCTAAGGCTGGTGTTGATCATCTGAATCTACCCAGATCCGAAGGAGGCAGAGGATTAGTTCAACTATAACTGTCTTAGAAAACCACAACAATCGGCCTTCAAAGATACCTGGAAACTACCGAAGACTGGATGATGCTCGGTGTGAAAGAACATGAAAGAAACAAGAAAATTTATTCAGTAATAAAACAAGCCAACAAATTCAAAAAAGAATTTCAAGTGGGTGAAGAAATGCAAATAAACCATAATACACCTATTGCAGCAGTAAAAACAAAAAAAAAAACTAAAAAAGAAAGCAAAAGCAAATGCAATGTATCAATGGCAGAAAGAATGTCTCGATAAGCCTCTTCATGACATGGAAGCATGATTTCATTCCGCATTATGTTAAGCGCTGCTATCAAGAGTTGCGATTGAAACAAATTGCTAATGAAATAGCTAAAAATGAAGATTGCCATAATTTTATATCACCGAAAAACACACAAAATAATTATGACAGAATCCCATTATTCATAAATTGGCACCGAAATTTTGCTGGGATTTCGAGAATACTAAACAACAGCTATGAACACATTGAGCAAAAATATCGGCGTCTTAAAGCGTCTGCACTCAAAACAACATTGGAGTTTCGGATCGTTGTACTCCCGAAAACACTCATGGAAGAGAAATACCTTGTTCATTGTGCAACAACACGAGTCAAATTAATTCCATCAGAAATTCAAAGGAAAACATCACGATTACCACAGATTGCGGCAATTGTATTGATTCCCATTTAATATATGCCGCCCAATGTACTAAACATGACTTGATTTATGCGGGATGCACAACGGAAAAATTAAAAGATTCAATCGACACAGGTATGATATCAAATGCAACAATATGACATCAACGGAGTTTGTGGAACATTTTATTACAAACCACTGTAATTTTGACATGCCTCTTAAGGTGCACATTGTGAAAAATATTCAGAATCTACCGATCTTGTGACCCTTAAAACGCATGAGGATAGTTACGTATTACAAATTACTAAATGAAAAGAATGACAATATAGCAATTGATATTTATTATATAAGATTACGAAAAGGGAAGAAGGGAGGTGTTGAGGTTGGTCCACACTAAGTATCTTATAATGATGTTCTTAGCTCGGCTTAGATGTGGCACAAGGCCGAAAGTATGGGGCACCCAGTGAGGATCGAACTCACTACTTAGTCGTAATTGATCTAGCAAGACAAGCTTTCTAACCATTACACCACGTCGACGACGACGACGACGAAGAAGAAACACCACCTCCACCAACATTGGTGTTTCGGATCGTTGTACTCCCGAAAACACTCATGGAAGAGGAATACCTTGTTCATTGTGCAACAACATGAGTCATATTAATTGTATTATAAGTTCAAAGGGAAACATCACGATTTATTGATATCTTCTTCATCTGGGAAGGCATGCAGGAAAGTTTGATAAAATTTTTACAATTTTGTGATACTTTTGCACACAAAAAAATTCGATCCCATAAAGTTTACATCTAGCATCTCCAAAACTAGTGTTGAATTTTTAGATACTATAGTAAAGGAGTCGTCTCATGACCGAATTATTTTGCAAGCCTACCTCATGACACATTGACCTACACTTTTGTTATGACCATCCTTATCACAAGATAAAATCAAACCCGAAGTTCCAATTTTTGCACATAAGGCGAATTTGCACGGCGATAAAAGATTATTGGAAGCATGCTAATGATTTCATTTGGCATTATGTTAAGCGCTGCTATTAACAGTTGCGATTGAAAGAAATTGATAATGAAATAGGTAAAAATGAAGATTACCATAAATTTTATACCAGGTCAAAACACTGAAAAATACAATTAAAATTCTGACAGACATTAGACATCAACTGGCACCGAAATTTTGCTGGAATTCGAAAATACTACACGACAGCTATGAACACATTGCACATAAATATCCGCGTCTTAAAGAGATATTTCCCAAATCCACATAGCGTCTGTTTTTTTTTTTTTTAAAGAAATAACATAAGACATTTTTTAACAAATGCAAGGGTTCACACTCAAAACTACATTGGAGTTTCGAACCGGCGTGCTCCGGAAAAAAACTCATACAATGCGGAAAACACTTCTCGTTGTGCAAGAATATAAATCAAGTCAATTCTATCACAAATTCAAAGAAATACATCACAATTTCTTCTGAAGGTGGTAATTGAACTCACTCCAATACGCCGCTCAATGTACTAAAATCACTTGATTTATGCGGGATGCACTACGGAAAAATTAAATAAAAGAATCAATGGTTGCAGGTACGACGTCGGACACAACAATGTGACATCATCGGAGCTTACAGGATATATTATTATAAACTTAGTGGACACATTGTGAAAAATATTCAGAATCTAGCGACCTTGCGATCCTTAAAACGCATCCGGATAGTTACGTATGCAAATTACTAACTCCCGGCCTCTGGTGAATGAACAGAAAGAGTTCAAGTAGATTTTTACTAAAACTGCTTAATTTCTCTTAGTAAATTATCAACTAAACTTTTGGCTTAATTTCTCTCTGTTTTTTTAAAGTCACAACCACGCAAGAGGTTAAAGAGAGTGAAAGTAAGAGTAAAGAGAGAGGGGTTACAGAGAGTGAAAGTACGAGTAAAGAGAGAGGGGTTACAGAGAGGAAAGTACGAGTAAAGAGAGAGGGGTTACAGAGAGTACGAAAGAGAGAGGGTTAAGAAGAGGAAAAAGTAAAGAGAGAGGGGTTACAGAGAGTGAAAGTAAGAGTAAAGAGAGAGGGGTTACAGAGAGGAAAGTAAGAGTAAAGAGAGGGGGTTACAGAGAGGAAAGTAAGAGTAAAGAGAGGGGGTTACAGAGAGTGAAAGTAAGAGTAAAGAGAGAGGGGTTACAGAGAGGATAGTACAAGTAAAGAGAGGGGTTACAGAGAGTGAAAGTAAGAGTAAAGAGAGAGGGGTTACAGAGAGTGAAAGTAAGAGTAAAGAGAGAGGGGTTACAGAGAGTGAAAGTACGAGTAAAGAGAGAGGGGTTACAGAGAGTGAAAGTAAGAGTAAAGTGGCATGTTTTGAGGAAAAGACACAGAAAAGGACGGGGAATCAAGGTCAAGGCATCAGAAGATGTCGATTGACATTACATTTGAATATTTGAAGATTATAGCTATCAGGGAAGCAAGTAAGCCAAAGGAAGTTCCATTGTCGCGAAGTTCGAGAGAAGAAGCTGTTGGAGTAGAAGAGGTGGTTATATTTAACTGTTTCGACAGTAAAAGAGTGGGAGCGAGTTGCCAATCTAGTAGCACGCTTAAATTCATGCAGTCGGGGCACCAGTGAAAATATCTCGTCAGAGCAGATGCCATGAAAACATTTGTAGAAAAGACAGAGAGAAGTCACATCACGTCTGAGAGAAAGTAACTGGAGTCGAGATGCCAGGTCAGAATCTATCACATTGCATATCCATCTTTGGATTTTGTCGAGAGCCTCGAGATGAACAGCAGGGACATCAGACCATATATGGCAACAGTATTCAATGCAAGGACGAATGGTAGATTTGTAGATGTGAAAGACTCAAACGAGAAAAACACTCTGGCGCGACACAGAAAACCAACTTTCCTTACGATAGATATAGCTATTGATTCAATGTAGTTGTACCACCTCAGGTCAGTGGAAAACGTGAGATCAAGAACGCGCAGAGAGATGCTCTCGTGAAGTTGAGCATCAGCCATGCTGATTGAAGGCAGGGAGGTTTCTCTATGGTGGGTAAATGAGAGAAGTTTCGTTTTGAAGGCATTAAAGTTTACAAATCATTTCCTGTCCGAGTCAACCACAGACTGGAGGTCCTAACTAATCAACTTAAATTCTAAGATGAACATGATCAGCATTATATTAAGCACATTTCCAATGCATGCCTTCATTTGTTTCGACGTGTTGATTACCATTGCAGCCGTTTTTCCAAGATAAGCGACATTTGTACTTAGACTTATAATTTTTGTAGATTTTTTATAAATTTGTATTGTAATTTTTTTTAAACTATAACTTGAAGAAGACAGACATACTGTCGAAATA